GATCCTTTCTCTGAGAAACTGATGTTTAAGATTTAACTCTAAGTAACTTTTAACTAAGGAAAAGGGTTAGAAAGATTCCTTTCCTAACTCTTTTCCTAACATAAACTTTCCTTTATATTAACTCAGTCATTGGAAGTAAAGAGAGGAGTGCTTAATATGAAGGAATAATAAGTTCTTTGTAGAGTCTGGATATTAGCCCTTTGTCAGATGGGTAGCTTGCAAAAATTTTTTGCCTTTATGAGAAAAAAACAAACAACCCCATCAAAAAGCAGGCGAAGCATATGAACAGGCACTTTTCAAAAGAAGACATTTGGCCTCCAAACATATGAAAAAATGCTCATCATCACTGGTCATTAGAGTAATGCAAATCAAAACCACATTGAGATACCATCTCATGCCAGTTAGAATGGTGATCATTAAAAAATCTGGGGACAACAGTTGCTGGAGAGAACATGGAGAAATAGGAACACTTTTACACTGTTGGTGCGAGTGTAAATTAGTGCAACCATTGTGGAAGACAGTGTGGCAATTCCTCAAGGATCTAGAATTACAAATACATTTGACCCAGCAATCCCATTACTGGGTATATATCCAAAGGATTATAAATCGTTCAATTATAAAGACACATGCACATGTATGTTCGCTGCAGCACTGTTTACAAATAGCAAAGACTTGGAACCAACCCAAATGCCCATCAGTGATAGACTGGATAAAGAAAATGTGGCACAGACACACCATGGAATCCTCTGCAGCCATAGAAAAGGATGAGTTCACGTCCTTTGCAGGGACATGGACAAATCTGGAAACCATCTCATAAAAAAAAAAAAATGCATAAAACTATTTTATACTCATTTGATGAGATTGTAAAGTAACAGGCCCTCTTAATCATCATGGAATGCATAGAAATGCACACTGAACTAATCTCTATGGAGGGTAATTTAGCAAAAATTATTCTCTCTGTTGCTCAGACTGCAATGCAGTGGTATGATCATGGCAGCATTGACCTCCTGGGCACAAGTGATCATTCTGCCTCAGCCTCCCAAGGAGCTGGGACTACAGGCGCATACTATTACGCCTGGCTAATATTTTTATTTTTTGTAGAGATGGGGGTCTTGCTACATAGCCCAGGCTGGTATTGAACCCCTGGCTTCAAGCAATCCTCCAACCTCAGCCTCCCAAAGTGCTGGGATTACAGGCATGAGCCACTACACCTAGCCACAAAGTTTCAATGACTAATATCCATATTTTGCTTAGCAATTTCATGTCTAGGAATTTATAATAAAAATAGACTCACGGTAGTGCAAAAATACAATATTATTTACTGCATCATTTTCATAAGAATGAAAAATTGAAATAATAAATTTGCCTAAATATGCATATACCTTGAAGGGATACACACACACACATAAAAACACTTAGATCCTCCTATCCCGAAGGAGACAAGGAGAAACAGTACACCCTTTCTACAACTCATGAATTTTGAATTATATTTTATTATGCACACACACACTCCCAATCTTCAAAAAAAAAAAAATTATATAAAGCTTTCTCACTTTATTTTCTTTCAATGTTTTAGTGTTATTTTATGTAATATATTCCTCCAACATAACCCTAAGGATATAAATATATATCCCTGATTCTCTTACCTGTACCCTCATTCATTTTCTTCCTAAACCAAATTGTCTAGTATACTCATCAAAGATTTGAAAGCAGATCTCTTCTAGAATATTATTGTTATATAGCCTTTAATGTTCTATGTGTTTATCTATAAAAAGCTATATATTTCAAATGCATCAATTAAATAATAACTGATTAAATGTCTTACTATGTGTTAGATTTAAGATAGAGTGGGCCAGGCGTGGAGCCTGTAATCCCAGCACTTTGAAAGGCTGAGGTGGGTGGATCACCTGAGGTCAGGAGTTCGAGACCACCCTAGCCAACATGGAAATACCCCACCTCTACTAAAAATACAAGAATAAGCTGGGCATGGTGACGTGTGCCTGTAATACCAGCTACTCAGGAGGCTGAGGCAGGAGAATCCCTCGAACCTAGGAGGCAGAGGCTGCAGTGAGCTGAGATCGTGCCACTGTACTCCATCCTGGGCGACAGAGTGAGACGCCATCTCAAAAAAAAAAGAGTGATAAAAATTTAGCCTCTGTCCTCAAGAAATTTGCTTTCTAGGAACTGTTGAACAATTAATGAGAAATTTATAATTTTTTGGAATCAGGACAACTTAATTTAAATTCTGGATTCTAAAAGTGTTAGTTCTCTTTGCTTGGGCAAATTATTAGTACCTGTGGGTCTCAGTTTTCTGAATGGCTGCTTTTTCAAGTTCAGATGTGACTTTGTTTAGAAAGCCTTTCCCTTACCGCACAATGATAGAAGATCCCCTCTAGCAGTGATTCTTGTTGGCTCCTTGTCTCTCTCTTTGTAGATGTTGGATCTCCGCAGGTACATTGTATAGTACCAGTCTTCTTTACCATCCTGTACATTATATAAGGGCAGGGGCCATGTCTATTTTTTTTTTTCACCAGAGTCCAACCAACTTCTAACTCAGCCCCTGCCACATAGAAACCATGAACAGATGTAGACCATTTTTCTTCTCACCCTGGCCTCTAGGGCTAAGTCCAGATGGACTCATTTACTCTTGTGCCTTCCTTGCTTGAGTCAGGCACCTCTCCCTTATCTGTCCTCTCTGCAGTGCTTCTCATTTGTCTGTGGCCCCAACCACAGTCAGTTTGTAACACCAGAGACAGTCTGATTTCTTGATGGATCCTTAACACACACTGAATGAACAAATATAAGGCCAACTGCAGTGACTTTATTTTAATGGGTTTTCAGGCGTACAGAAAGGGGCTCTTTAGATGGGGCTGTGTCACTAGTCAACCATCTTCACTGGGGCGTCCTAGTCACTATGACTGTTTTGTAGATCAGGATGATTCATTCAAATTGTCTCCTCTTCCATTCCTTCATAATAGGGTACATGGTCTGAAAGTACATCCCACCTTCTCTAGTACCTGGAAGCAAATTTGAAATGGTGTATTTAAGAGCAGCTTTGAGCTGTACACACTAAGTTTGCGGTCAAGAGCGTTAGGTGTTTTGTGCACTACAATAGGAAAAGAAATGGAACAAACGTACCTTTTTTTTTTTTTTTTTTTTTTTTAGAGATGGGTTTTCACCATGTTGGCCAGGCTGGTCTCAAACCCCTGACCTCAAGCAATCCACCCACCTCGGCCTCCCAAAGTGAGTGCAGGGATTACAGGCATGAGCCACCATGCCCGGCCCCAAATGTAAATTTTAATGAAGAAAGAATGGCAGGCAGAAATGCTAGACAATAACTACTGTAGAGCCAGAACTGGTTTCCTTTGGGTTACTAAATTAGACCATTAGTTATTTCAAAGACTAATGATATCATGTTTTTCAATCCTGTGTTGGTCTTCAAGCCGGTCTTTAGGCAAGACATGTTTATACTAGAAGACCATTGATTACTGATACTTTCAGAAGACAAATGTTATAGTACTTTGCTCTAACTCTATTTTGACCGGAGAGCCCAACTAAGCACCCCACTGGCATGGCTTCCATGTGACATATGATGTGGAAATTTTCCTATTCTATTGTCCCTGCAAGTTTGGGCTCACTCTAAACAGTCTGCCTACTGGACATGTGTGCCATTAGCCATCAATAGGCTGAATTCAGGACTGCCTTGTTTTAATTCCACAGAATATACTGCAGGTCACAAGCACACATATTCTCAAGCTTGCAGAGTTCTAAATGTAAGCAGTTAAGTGTAAAGGATGAGCTTAAGTGCTTACTTGGACCGTAACATCTTCCTTATCTGCCCTTCTTTCCTTTCTGCACAGAGCTGAGAACTAAGAGGATAAATTACAGGCGGCTAAGTTTAAAAACAACATAGGTATGAAATAGAAACCTTCGGAAAGAGTACAAAAACTGAAGCTATTTATTTTGTGGGAGGATTAGACATACTTTAACAGAAAAGACGAGCAAAGTGGTTTAGAGACCATCATTCAGACAGAGGAATGACGGTATATACTGTCTTTTTTGCACCTTTGGGTGATCCTGGAGCTGGTGGGAATCCTGCTTGCTTGCTGAGGAGGAGCAGAGTTACTGTCTTTTATGGTAGCCTAAGTTTATTCTGGGCATTTACCTGTTTTGTCTGACAGAAGAGAGTGAGGAACCTAGGAACTCCTTGTTCAGGACTTCTCCTGTCTGGCAGATGCCTTGCTATTTCCAATCTGCCAAACCCAAACCCAAGATAAAATTATGAAAGAAAAGCAAGAGCTGGCCGAGTGCGCTGGCCAGCTCTTGGTGGCTGTAATCCCAGCAGTTTGAGAGGCTAAGGTGGGCAGATCACCTGAGGTCAGGAGTTCAAGACCAGCCTGGCCAACATGGCAAAACCTCGTTTCCACTAAAAAACAAAAATTAGCCAGGCATGGTGGTACATGCGTGTAACATTAACCCAGCTACTTGGGAGGTTGAGGCACGAGAACTGCTTGAACCCAGGGGGCGGAGGTTGCAGTGAGCAGAGATGACACGACTGCACTCCAGGATGGGTGACAGAGTGACACACTGTTTCAAAAAAAAAAAAAAAAAAAGAAAAGCAAAAAAAGAAATGCAAGAGCTATAAAGGAAGAAAGTTAACAATATTTAATAAGAGCCCCAAAAGAGGTAAAAAAAATACTATGGGGCAGAAAATGTTTTGAATAAATAGTGACTGAGTAGCTCCCAGAATTAGAGCAATATATAAGATCTCAGGTTATATATAAAGCTAAAGTAGTTCTTATGAAGAAACTTCTAGCTTTAAAAACATTGATCAGCCGGGCGCGGTGGCTCACGCCTGTAATCCCAGCACTTTGGGAGGCCGAGGCGGGTGGATCACGAGGTCAACAGATCGAGACCATCCTGGTCAACATGGTGAAACCCCATCTCTACTAAAAATACAAAACATTAGCTGGGCATGCTGGCGCGTGCCTGTAGTCCCAGCTACTCAGGAGGCTGAGGCAGGAGAATTGCCTGAACCCAGGAGGCGGAGGTTGCGGTGAGCCGAGATCGCGCATTTTCACCCACCCCTGGGAAAAAAAAAAAAAACCCCGTCACAAAAAAAAAGAAAAAAAAAAAAAAAAATTGATCAGAGAATACGAAAAACTAATCTAACAGGCCAAAAAACTAGGAAAAGAACAACTGAATAAATTCAGTGAACCACAGAGGAAGGAAAACAATGACAGAAATAAAGGAGATAGAAGACAAAAGAGCAAGGCAAAGAATGATCAAAACCAGAAACTGGTCTTAGTGGACTTGGACCCAAATGTCATCAGGAGATAGCTTCCAGCTATGGGCCCCTGAGACATCCCCTCATTTACAAGAGTGCCCTTGCCCAAGGTCATGGCCTTTTCTACAACCAGTGACTGATCAGGCTAGGGTATACGGCATGGCCATTTGACCAGAGATGAGTCAACTCTGATGTTATAGACCCAGAACTTTCCTAGTAGCTGGCCAAGGCTTTGATTTAGGCGTGCATTGCAAACTGACTTCTCCCTCTCCCTAACCTTGTCTTCTTCCCTCCAAGTGTCAATCCCAAGGGCACTCCCTAACCACCTGTACTCTACACCAGCGGTTCCCAACCTTTTTGGTGCCAGGGGCCAGTTTTCGTTTCATAGAAGATAGTTTTTCCATAGATGGTGGGGCTGATTTCTAGATAATTCGAGCTCCTATGAGAATCTAATACCACCACTGATCTGACAGGAGGTGGAGCTCAGGTGGTAGTGTGAGCGATGGAGAGCGGCTGTAAATACAGATGAAGCTTCGCTCGCTTGCCCACTGCCCACTTTCTGTTGTATGCCCACTTCCTAACAGGGCCACACAGCAGGAAGCGAGCAGCCAGCCAGCCAGCAAAGCGGACTTCAGCACCCATATCGTTGCCTGTAGTTTGGGGACTCTGCTCCATACTCTGTCTTAAAGCCAGCTTCCTGAAGAACCCTTCCTGGTCACTGTACTTTGGAAAGATTAATAAGATGAATAAATCTCTAATAAGACTGAGCAGGAAAATAAGAGGAAAGTCAAATAAAATATGGAATCTAAAAAGGGAAAATACTGACACGGCAGAGGAAAAATACGGTGATAACTTTGAAAACTTGGAAGGAATACATAAAATTCTGGAAAAATGTAAAATGAAACAAGTAGCATAAAAAGAAATAGAAAACTTGAATAACACAATAAGAAACAAACAGTCACATACTTCCTCCTCTCAATATAAATTCTTGCCTAAATGTCTTTACATGTAAATGTCAGACCTTTCTAGCACTGAATAATCTTTTCTTATACAACTTGTTCCAGAAAATAGAAACAAGATAACATTTCCAAACTCTTTTTGTTTTTTTTTTTTTTTTTTTTTGAGACGGAGTTTCACTCATGTTACCCAGGCTGGAGTGCAATGGCGCGATCTCGGCTCACCGCAACCTCCACCTCCTGGGTTCAGGCAATTCTCCTGCCTCAGCCTCCTGAGTAGCTGGGATTACAGGCACGCACCACCATGCCCAGCTAATTTTTTGTATTTTTTAGTAGAGACGGGGTTTCACCATGTTGACCAGGATGGTCTCGATCTCTTGACCTCGTGATCCACCCGCCTCGGCCTCCCAAAGTGCTGGGATTACAGGCTTGAGCCACCGCGCCCGGCCAAACTCTCTTAATGAGACCAGTATAGTCTTTATACAATCAGATAAAGCAATATGTGAAAAATATAAGCTAATTGTTCATCTAACAATTTTAAATAAAGCATGAACTAATCGAACCCAATAACTGGTCATAGCACATAGATAAAAGTTAAATTTAAAAACAGGCCAAACGAAGTGGTTCATGCCTGTAATCCCACCACTTTGGGAAGCCAAGGCAGGAGGATGGCTTGAATCTGGAGTTGGAGATCAGCCTGGGCAAAATGGCAACCCGTCTCTACAAAAAATACAAAAATAAAAAAAAAATTAACCAGGCATGGTGGTGAATGCCTGTAGTCCCAGCAATTCAGGCAGCTGAGGTGGGAGGATCACCTGAGCCCAGGAGACAAAGGGTGCACTGAGCCAAGATCACGCCACTGCACTCCAGCCTAGGTGACAGAGCAAGGCTCTGTCAAAAGACAAAACCAAAACAAAAAACTTAAATTTAAAAGCAATTTTTCCAGCCCAGCCAATACAGTGAAACCCCATCTCTACCAAAAAATATAAAACTTAGTTGGGTGTGGTGGTGCACACTTGTAGTCCCAGCTACTAGGGAGGCTGAGGTAGGAGGCAGAGGATGCAGTAAGCCAAGATCATACCACCCTGCACTCCAGCCTGGGCAACAGAATGAGACCCTGTCTCAAGAGAAAAAATTAAAATTAAAACAATTTTTTAAATTAAAAGATAAATTAACTTTAAAATGTTTTTAATTTATGAGGCCACAATGATACTCAAAGGAAAA